AACCATCGCGCGCGCTTCGCGCGCGCTCAGGTTCTAGCCCACGCCGGAGAGCGACGAGGGAACGAGGGAAAGGATGAGAAAGACGAGGCCGATCAAGAAGCAACGACGATTTTTCCAAATGGCCAGACAACTGAGGCAACAGCGCGGCCGAGGCGTGCCCGCGGTAGCTGATGCACCAAATTAGGGGTAGGAGGAGGAGGAGGAGGAGGAGGAGGGGGAGGAGGAGGAGGAGGAGGAGGAGCGGCACGCGGCTGAGGAGGGGGGGCAAGAGAGGTCCCGCGGCAGTCCTTGCCTAGCCCAGCAGCTCCTTCAGGCCAGCATTGTGCCGTACCTGTTGGCGGAGCCTCGCGGCGAATGCATTCCTTGTGAAGGTTGGGGGTCTTCGCTTCCTAGTTCTACTTAGATTATAAGCGTTGTGAACAAGATCGATAGCAATGGCGTGGAGGCAGCAGGAGTCGGAGCCCACCGAGCCCCAGAGAGAGGGGAGGAAAGCGGAAAGGGGACGAGAGGCCACCCAACCCGCAGGGAGAGCGGGGAGGACGGAGGAAAGACACACAACCACATGAGGACATCTGAAATAGTGCTCTATACAGTCACCCCCATATTAGCACAACCTAATCTGCAAACCTGAGCTCCGCCTCGGAAGCGCCTCGAAGTGGGCCAGGCATTAAAGAGGGTCCTAATTACAGCACTTGTTATGCTGGGTGGGCATCTCTGACCAATCACATTCAGTCTAAGGAAAACGCGGTCGATATCGGGACCAGAGGCCTCAGGGGTCCAATATCGGAGCCTCGGGGCAATGATTTCACCAGCAGTGGGTCCACGGAAAAAACTCTGGTTTTAAAAACTTAGTTATACGATTCTGCAGCAATTTAGGCCTCACACCGTGGGGAAAGCCAGGGACAGGATGATATATTTCAACTGCTCTGTTCATGTGGGCAACGATGGAGTTGGACGAGGGGAACGAGATAACTCTGGCGATGCACTGGTCATCGTCTTCTCTGATCTCCGCGGGCCAGTCTTTCATCCTCCAGAAGGCATCAGAACGGGTGGCGGCACGCAGTAGAGCAGCAGGAGCGGTGACTCGAACTTCCTGGGCCTCGCACTCGAGACCGATCCTTTTCATGTGGCGCAGGGCGAGCGGGGAGAAGGCGTACCGAGGGGCGTTTCTCAGCCGCTGCACGCCCTCGCGGGCCTTGACGTGAACAAGCTTGCTGGGCTCGTAGCACTGGGCGACATGGGAGAGGGCGGGAAGAGCGAAGGTGTTGTACGCGGAGAGGGAGAGGTTCAACCCCAGCTTCAGGCCCTTGATGCACGTGCATCTGTCGAACAACTTCTGAGCGGGCGCGTACCAGCTCTTAACGTGCCCATCTGGGCCCACGATCGCACCAAGGTAGAGGCCACTGGATCCAAACGAAAACTCTTTTACCTTCATCCTGGGAGTGTTGTTCCTGAAAATCTTGACCAGGGACTCTTTGTCAGGGACATGCAACATCATAATGTGGCACTTACCAAGGTTCAATGCAAGGCCCGCCCACTGCCCCGAAATCACGAGCTCTCGGACGACCAAGGGCAAGACGGCAAGCAGGTTCCTGGCCACGAGCGCTATGTCATCTGCAAAGCACGGCAGGATGAATTCGCACGACTGCTGGAATCTCTTGACTTTGACGAGAACGGGGTGGAGGATGATGGCAAAGAGGACCCCGCTCATCGGGCAACCTTGCTTCATACCCCTGGAGACCCAAAAGCCACAAGCGGAAGCCCCAGGAAACGGAACCATGGTCCAATTCTGGTCGTACAGGGAGTAAATCGCGAAGCGGATGCAAATCGGGATACCTAACTTATCGAGCACGGCAGCGATCCAGTCGTGGAAAACCGACGGGAACGCCTGCTTAAAGTCGAACAGCGTGGCGCCGATGTCCTTCAGCCCGTAGAGTTCACCCCAAAACTGATAATGAGCATCGAATTCGACAAGGTTGTCAATGAGCGATCGGCCCTTCACGAAACCCCTCTGGGAGCAGTCGACGACATCGACAGCGACGGCATTCAGCGGCGAGGCAACGGCGGCCGAGACGATTTTGTTGCCGGTGTTGCTCAAGGACAGCGGCCTAGTTACACTTGGCGGGCGGGCCTCGGCACCATTTCCTGAGAGGGAACCTTTAGGGAGGAAGATCATCTTACAGTAGTTGAAGGACGGGGCGCGACGATTTCCTGTCATCAGGTGGGTGTAGAGGTTGTACAATAACTCATATCCCAGGGAACCGATAGCTTTCCACCCGGAGTATCGGACGCCGTCGGGGCTGGGGGCCGAGTCTTTTTTACGCCGGGCCATATCAACAAATTCGCCTTCACTCAAAATACAATTGTGGTAGGTGTGGGCGCTGCTGACAAATTGGTCCCCATTACTGTGCACAGGCGAGAGGCACTCCAGCAGCGGCGACGCGCACGCATCGGGGTGCTGGGAGTTGGAGAATATCTTTCCCCAGTACTCGGCAAGCAACTCAGCCATCTTATCTGGCTCTGTGGTGTGCGCGCCTCCAGGCTCCACCACGGCAGCGAGATGGATGCGAGGACGGGTCCGTGCCCATGCAGCTGAAAGCCTGCGAATGCGGGCTAGGTGCGAGTCCTTCTGGGCACTGGTGTAGGAGGGGCCGTAGCGAACTTCATTTTCTTCCCGAGCGAACTCCTGGACCATAATCCGTCGAAAGCGTTCCAGGAAACCAGGCATATCAGTCCAAACCATCAGCTCAATGTCGTAAAACTCCGAAAGCTCAGAAAACCCAGACAGGGCTCGGGAGGCAAGACGACGGTGGTTCCCACGATGGGCCCTCAGGAGCTTGAGACACTGGGCAGCTTTGGATGGGTTACAGTTGGCCCCAAATTCTTCAACATGATATTTGACCTCCCTGGCGGCAGCGTGCATGAGGCTCTTCACCTCGAGAACAGCCGTCGGCGGGTCGAGGCTGAGCACGTTGGCCTCCACCAACGAGTCGAACGAGACGCGAAACGGAGCGTGCTTAAAAAAAAACCAGCCTGGAATAGGAGGAAGAGGAATGTCACACCTATCTTCGTTAGATGCAGGAAAACCTTCAGGCCGATGAAAGGGCCGAAGCACTAGATGAACAGGAACGTGATCCGAGGGAACTTTACTATCAGATATGTCTAAGTCGGTCGTGGAGATTGGGTTAAAGTCGAGGACGATGGGGGTCGGCAGGCGAGTGAGAATTCTGTCGAGTCGAGCGAAGCTTGGTGTATTTCGAACGTTAACACTATGAGTGTAGGGAGGCTGTTCAACTTCAACGTAGGAGGGGAAGATCGAGTCAAAATGCTTTGCAATCCTGGAAAACGCAGCGAGCGTCTCGCCCGTCCCAACAACATACCTGCTTTCACCCGTAACTGAGAAGTTAAAGTCGCCGGCGAGAAAGGATGTGGCTAGAGAACCAGGGGAGAGATGCGTGCGCAGCGAATAGAGTACAGCCTTGGTGCGAGTCTCGCCCCAGTCGGGAACTAGGTGCAAGTTGGCGATCTGTAATCGGCCTCTGGGCCCCCACAGAGAAACTATGTGAACTCGGCCTTCCACCACGGGCACCTCGGAATGGCCTGCGAAAAGGTCGAAGAGAGAGGACTTGATGATAGTAACCGCGCCTCCAGCACTCTCTGAGTCGACGAAAGACCCGAAAACATGAACTCCAGGAAGTTCGCTTCTGAGAGTGTCAAGATCCCCAAGACATCCATGGACCTCCTGCAAACAGACCACGGTATGTTTACTTACGAGCCTCCGAAGGACCTCAAATGTGGGCTTACATCGCTTCCCAGGGGAGTGGACAGAGTAGAACATAGTTTGGCAATTCCAAGAGCATATACTGAGCACCTGATCTGGAAGGAATAGGTCAGACGTCGACGACGAATCTAGGTCAGCAGCAGGCTCGCCCCCACCTGCGGCTGCTTGGATCTGCCCTCGTGGAGCTTCCTATTCTGCAGACTGAGCTGCAGCGATGATCGCCTCCACCTGCTGGACAGAGACGCCCCAGTCGGCGAGCTCGTCGCCCACGGGCACGAAGTGGTACTTGTCGTACGAGATCTGGTTGGCCGTGATCAGCGTCCAGATGTCGTCGCCGTTGGTGATGAAGAGGGGGCCCTTGAAGCCGTTGACGCCGAGGCGGCAGGTGTCTGACCACTTCGGGCACTTCAGCGCGAGCTCGCGCATGGGAGTGTACAGTTTCGAGAACTTACGCTGCATGTCACGGACGTCCGCGGGAAGGTCGCCACGAGCGCGAAGAGGGAACTGCCTGCCATTGCGCGGGTCCACCCACGTCATCGTAGCGGCTGCCATCTGCAAGCGGAACTCTTTGGCCTTCTCGGTCGTCGGGAAGATGATCGAGTAGGACTGCGACACACGGTGGAACTCTCCCTCAGCGTGCTGGGTAATCGGGAAGTTCTGCTTGATCTGCTCAAAATGAGCACGACGAATTTTGTCCAGCACTGGCCTGGGCCACGTACCGATCCACACCTTTCTGGCGTCCGATGGAGGAGTTGGGCCGCTAGCTGAGCTCCCATCGCCCAGCCTCCGAGCCTTCGACCCGTCCGAGGAAACCGTCCTGGATGATGCAGCGGTGGACCCGCCATCAGAGGTTTCGCAAGCGCGCATCCTCTGATCAAGCTCCCTGATGGTCTGCCGCTGCTCGTTCAATTTCCCGACGAGCTCTGCATTCTGCTTGTTGATCGTCTCCGTTACCGGGGTGATATGTTTAGTCACCTCCTCTGCCACACGAGTCTGCATCGTGTCCATGAACTCGGCCATGAGGTCACGCATACTCTGCATGGTCACTGGCGTGGCGTCACCCATGGCTGCTGGGACTGGCTAGGTGAGGCTCAGATGAGCCCTGGGATGCAAAGAAAAATGCGGTCCGCCAGCCCACGACAGGCTGGATCGCTCGTGCAGGAGCTGCCCGCCCAAGAGTGCCTTGAGCCAAAATGGCAACGGAGGAGGAGGAGGAGGAGGAGGAGGAGGAGGAGGAGGAAGAGGAGGAGGACGACGGCCAGCTCAGCCGGCCGCCGCGGGCCCCCGGAGCCCGACCGATGGGCCAGGCAGCGGCCCCAGCGCCCTTCGGCGCCGCGAGCCGCGCCGCGCGGGAGAGTGAGGAAGAGGGAGACGAGGCGGACCAGGACCGCTGAGGAGCGGCGATCTGGGGGGCTCCAGTTGGCCAATCTTGGGGCTCGGACGCAAACGAACGCAACGAACGAGGCACGGAAACGAATAGTCGACATTCAGGTAATTGTTTCAACACTTGTTTGATTATTTGCGTGGTTCGCTTGCTCTTTAAATCCGCTGTCTCTGTGCGGGCGAGGCACGAAACGATGACGATAGGGGGAGGGAGTTGGATAGCACGCTGGGCGATGCTCGAAGCAGTTATTCCAATAAGCACGGAAGCGAACATGTAAAAAATATGTTTCAATATTTATTTAATTATTTGCGTGGTTCGCTTACTCTATTAACCGCTGTCTCGGTACAAACGACGCACGGAACGATGACGATAGGGGAGGGAGTTGGATAGCAAGTTGAGCGTTGCTCAAAGTAGTTATTCCAATAAGCACGCAAACGAACATGTGAATCTTATTTTTGGTTTCAATATGTATTTAATTATTTGCGTGGTTCGCTTGCTCTTTTAACCACTGTCTCTGTGCGGGCGAGGCACGGGACAATGACGATAGGGGGAGGAAGTTGCATAGCACGTTGAGCGTTGCTTAGAGTAGTTATTCCAATAAGCACGGAAACGAATGTGTAAATATTTAAATAATTGTTCCAATATCTAGTTGATTATTTGCGTGGCTCGCTTGTTCTTTAACCCACTGTCTCTGTGCGGGCGAGGCACGGAACGATGACGATAGGGGGAGGGAGTTGGATAGCAAATTGAGCGTTGCTCAAAATAGTTATTCCAGAAAGCACGGGAACGAACATGTAAATCTATAAATAATGAATTAAAGATTTAAGTGATCATTTGCGTGGTTCGCTTGCTCTTTTAACCATTGGCACTGTGCGGGCGAGGCACGGAACGATGAAGATCAGGCGAAGGGGTTGGATTGTCCGCTGAGGGTTGCTCCAAGTGGGTGTTTTCTGTAGGAATCTGACCCTATGAGCCCCATGAGCCCTACAAGCCCTACGAGCGCTCGGAGCCCTGTGAGCCCTCTGAGCCTTATGAGCCCTACGAACCTTATGAGTCCTATGAGCCCTCTGAGGTGACCTGCCCCGCCCTCCTCGACGCATCATCGCCGCTCCGTCCTCCTCCTCCTCCTCCTCCACCTCTCCATCCCTCGGTTCGGCAGGGGTGGCCGGGCCAAGTCACGATGTCGGACGTCCTGTGTACGGCAGGAGGAGGATGAGGGGGAGGAGGAGGAGCGGGAGAGGGAGGGGGAGGAGGGGGAGGAGGTCCGCGCCGCGCTGATACGGCGGCGACCCCGGCGCGGACGTTCAAGGTTGAGAACGCCACCAATGGCCTGGAATCGGTCAGCATCGAGCGGTCTACGCGGTCGGGAAATTCCGATCGTCAAGGTCGAACTTGCTACGCGGTGTGCTGTCCGGCATCGGAACATATTACATAATTACAGAATGAGGTGTTCCTTTTAGCAACGGGGGCTTGTTGAGCCGTTTGAAAATATATCCTGAGATGCATGTGTTCTGTCCGCAACACTCGCACGAAGCTCTACTTCCACACTCGGTGGAGGTAGCGCGTATACGCATGACGACATGCAATCTCTCTCGTGGCAGCAGTGGTTGCGTGTACCATGTAGGCGGAACTTGTTGGGGGCCTCCGCAATAAGAAGCGCGTGTTCAGATGCTATCATTGTCGGAAGGACCCTTTCCAATCCATAAGCATCTAGGCAAGCCGTCTTATTACGACAGTTTGAATCGTAGCCAGATTCCCAAATCGCCAGCCACCGAGATATAGCAGCGAATAGACGTGGGTTTTGCAACAGCGGTGCTGAGCGGGCCCAGAAAGCAGTTCCCGCAACAACCGCCCACTTGTCACGGGGAGGAAGGGCAACGTGATTGTCATACAGAAAACCCCAAGCTCGTCTCATAGAAGCGACCCCCTCCTTCTCTGGAAATGAATAGTTGGCCAGATGGTCAAACGAGTCGTTGACTTTAACAGGATCGACCATATCGTCATACCGCCATGTCAGGGCCCATGGCCCCAATATGCCCAAGTCTCGCTGATGGTCAAGCCTATCCAATATGTGCTTGACCTGATCCTTACTTCCGCAAAGCGACGTCAACATCTGACACCGCCAAGATGGTGCACGTTTGCTATGCACTTTGAGCAGAAACTCGTACATCGATGGGTCAAGTACCTGCTGGATCTGTTGAAGGAACAAGCCCACGTCGGCGCCCTTGTTCTCGAGGGAGAAATTCATGATCAATCGCGCCTGGTACTCGCCCCCCATGTTCCATCTGTGCACCAGCAAGCGGGCGTCTTCAGCGATGCTGGAGTTGTTGCTGCCTGAGATCATTCCGATGTATACGTCCACGTTCCGTGTCAGCCGAGCCCCTTGTCGAGAAGTGCAGGTGGCCCCTTCTAGCACATTGGTGACGCACTCCCGAAGGTGCGGCCACACAGACGAGTTCGCCATCTGCACGAACACCGCAACAGCTGACTTCGGAGGCACTCCCAACACACTAGCAGGCGGCGTCGAGGAAGATGCGAGCATTCGCATTCGCATTCGCACCGTATGCAACGAAGCTAGCAGCGTATTCGCAAGTATCGTTGCGCAGACAGCAACGCAACAACGCAGAGCCCTACGCGTGTGCGAGACCAGGTGCGGGCAGCCTGGCAGGAGCATCAGGCACGCGCGGCAACCCTCCTCTTGAAGCAACTTGGGGCCGCTAGGAGCCTGTCAGGGACACATGCCAACTTGAGCCAGAATGGCCTAAGCGAAATGGCCCTTAATGACATCCTGGAATGTATTGGGGACGCCTGGGGGGCATCGTTGGCCTGTTAACGCTTCTCGTGGTCCGCTTTGACATGTCCTGTGGCGTTTGATATTCCTTTTCGAGCGATGGGCCACGCTCAGTTCTCCGGAGAGCATGCTCTCTCTGCCTCTCAAAGCCCCAAGATGGCTTGAAGACGACCCAAGGAAGCCCCTAATCGCCCCAGGATAATCCCAAACCGGCCCAAGAGGTTCAGCAGACGCCCCCAGAGGCCCCAAAGAGATCCTCACGGGGTTCCCAAGAGGCCCCCCGCATACCCTGGACAGGCCACCAAGAGGCCATCCCATGTTCCGCCAAATTGCTTGTGCACCGGCTGGGGGAGCAAGCAATCCAAACGCTTGCCCAAACTCTCCCCAACGGTTGGACGCATAGGCGACTCCCAAAAGGCAGGGGGCGGCGGCGACCCGCCTGTAGCTTGCAAGAGGGGTGCTCGGCCTGCCCAGTTTTATAACACGGTTGGCCCTTACAACAAACACCTTGTGGCTCTCGGCCCGTCCGCCGCCATCGCACACAGCACCCACTATCACGACGATTCGCCTCCAAGCCAGCCAGCATGGCCCAATCTGGTCCTTAAGACGGGCCCGGGCGGCCCAAGACGCTCACAGCTGGCCTCCATCCATCTCCTCATCCCCCGTTCCCTCCTTCTCCCGCTCCTCCTCCTCCGCCTCCTCCTCACCTTCATTCTTTTTCCTTATAAGCAACTTCTCCCTGTCGCACCCCGAGGCGAGTTTTTAGGGCGGGCTGGGCGTTTCGCCTGAGACTTCGTTTAAATCACGGATTGAGGGCGGGTCGTTTTCAAAATGTGGCTCTCGCCTTAGCCCTGCGCACATTCGTCTTGAACTGTTGCAAGGGTTTGACGGATTGAGGGCAGTTCCTTTCCAAAACGTGGCTCTCGCTTTAGGCCCGCGCACACTCTGTTTGAACATGTGGAAGAGTTTCGCGGATTGAGGGCGGTTCCTTTTCAAAATGCGGCTCTCGCTTTAGGGCCGCGAGCATTCGTTTTGAACATGTGCAAGGGTTTCACGGATTGAGGGCGGTTCCTTTACAGAATGTGGCTCTCGCCTTAGCGACGCGCACGTTCGTTTTTTTTCTGTAAGACCAACTGTAAGAGTTTCACGGATTCCCATGAGCAGCGTACCAGAAATAGCGTTTTAGAAGAATTCCAGATTATAAGGGCGCAACCGTTACGTTGATTCGCGGTGTAGTCCCAGGAACGGCGTTCTAGCACGATTCAGGATCGTCAAGACGCACCATTCAGGTTGACCCGTGGCGTTGAAATCCCGAAAAGAATGTTTTGGCATGCTCCAGGGTCTTCAAACGATTGTCTTCCATCGAGGCAGTTCCCCCTGTGGAAATGAACCGCTGTAGGCGCCTATGCAGAGGAAACTTGGAGGAAGGGCTCTATAACAACATCGTTGATGACTCTTGGGTTTACACCTGTCCTCCTCCTCCTCCTCCTCCTCCTCCTCCTCCTCCTCCTCCTCCTCCCCTCCCCCTCCTCTTCCTCCTCCTCCTCTTCCTCTCCTCCTCCTCCTCCTCCCCTCCCTCCTACTCCTCCTTGTCCTCCTCCTTGTCCACCTCCCTCCTCCTCCCTCGTCCTCCTCCTCTTCCTCCTCCTCCCTCCCTCCTCCTCCTCCTCTCCCTCCACCTCCTCCTCCTCCTCCTCCTCCTCCTCCTCCCCCCTCCCCCTCCCTCCTCCTCCTCCTCCTCCTCCTCCTCCTCCTCCTCCTCCTCCTCCTCCTCCTCCTCCTCCTCCTCCTCCTCCTCCTCCTCCTCCTCCTCCTCCTCCTCCTCCTCCTCCTCCTCCTCCTCCTCCTCCTCCTCTCCTCCTCCTCCTCCTCCTCCTCCTCCTCCTCCTCCTCCTCCTCCTCTCTCCGCTTCTTCCTCCTCCTCCCTCTTCCTCCTCCTCCTCCTCCTCCTGGTTTTCCTCCCCTCCTCCTCCTCCTCCTCCTCCTCCTCCTCCTTGTTCTTCATCCCGTCCTCCCCATCCCCCCCCATTCCTCACCCCCCCTCCCTCTCTCCCTCCTCCTCCTCCTCCTCCTCCTCCTCCTCCTCGTCCTCCTTTTCCTCCTGCTGTTCCTTTTCCTCCTCCTCCTTCTCCTATTCCTCCTCCTCCTCCTCCTTTTCCTTCTCCTTCCTCCTCCTCCTCCTCCTCCTCCTCCTCCTCCTCCTCCTCCTCCTCCTCCTCCTAGTCTTCCCTATCCCCCTCCTCCTCCTGTTTTTCCTCCTCTGGTTATGATGATGGTGATGATGATGATGATGGTGACGATGATGATGTTGTTGCTGGTGATGATGCTGGTGCTGTTGATTCTGACCGTGCGGATGCTGAAAATGATGATGAAGATGCTGAGGATGATGCTGATGGGGGAATGGTAGACCCTATTGGAGCGTTGTTGGACAGTCGTGGATCCGTATTGAACCCTTCTTGGGCCGTCTCGATTCGCAAACTCCCTGGGCATCCCCATTGTTCGAGGATGTCTCGAACGATGGCCCCAATTTGAACAGATGGCGCCGAGGATGCCTCGAGCGAGAGCTTTCTGCTCAAGAGTTCAACGAGTCCAACGAGTTCGCAAGACCGTTGGATATCTCACTTGTTTGGGGATGTGTCGAGCGGGGGCCTCACTGTTCACATAAAACGTCCTAGAACAACTCCTTGGCGATCTCACTGTTTCGGGGATGTCTCCGACGAAACTGCCGTTGTGAGGGAGACTTCGCAAAGCGATCAACCTTTTGCGGCCGCGAGCCAGGGGTCTCTCACGTCTTAATTTTTCATGTCTTCCTTAACTCCCGTGCTCCAGCAAGCTCGCATCACCGTCTCGTTCCGAGAAACCGCTTCCCCGTCATCCACCAAGCGATCAACCTTTTGCAGCGGCGAGCCAGGGGTGCCTCGCGTCTTAGTTCTTCACGTCTTCCTTATGCAGCTTCCTTTAGCGAGCTCCAACCACCTTCTCGTTCCGAGTAGGTTTTTTTTTGAAGACGCAACCCCAACGCTGAGGTCTCGCGAGCACTCACAGAGCCAACCGCAAGGTCGGAACGCGCGTGCGCGCGTCCACGGACGCAACATACGAAACTGACCACCCACTGGTGGGAAGCCCGCACATCAGCACGCGACCCTCTGGCCACGGGCCGGCGGCGAACAGTGATTTTCAAACGGCGCAACACATCATGTGCAGGATAAGCATAGTGCAGCATAGCGGGAGCCGCCCTTATCAGCAATGCGAGGTCGGCAGCGCTCCAGGCTATACAAGGGCAGGGCTGAGGGCCGAGCCAAACTCAAAGTCACCAATGCAGCGGGCCGAGAAGGAAGGGGGGCGGACGAAGAGGCACAAGCGCTGGAAACAAACAAACAACGAAACTAAACCAGTCGCCTGCAGCAGGCTTTACTGAAGAAGTGAGCACTGGTGCTCACCTGAAGTAAACCCAAACATCCTAGTCTACTACTTCACTTCCTTGAGATCACGGCGTGGTGCGAGGAACATGGTCGTCGTCGATCATAAGTTCCGCAAGCTCCTGCCACTTCAACGCCCCACAAGATTGTGGGATGGATACGATCAGCAGGCGGTGACGGTCAGTCGCTCCGATCCAGCGAACCTTGCCCTCATTCACGCTGTCCTGGCACTCTACCACGAAGCAGCGCTCCTCTTGGTACGGGTGCATTCGGGGGGGCCATCTCGCCAGAGAAGGCGCTTCCCGTCATCCGCCGAGCAAGCTATCTGTTGCAACCGCAAGCTGGGGGTCTCTCGCGAGTTTGTTCTTTTTCCCAACCATCCTAAGGTGTGTGGTCCTCGTTTTGAAAAGACAGCGCCCCCCATCTGACCTCACCTCACCTCCCGCGCTCCTCCCTCTCCTCCCTCCTCCCTCCCCCTCCTCCCATCCCTTGCCTCTGCCCTCCGCATGTCCATTTCGGTGCACCCCTCACACGCTTCGTGGCCCCGTAGGGTGCTCCGTCGAAGGCCCAAGAGGCAGGATCCGTATGCAGGTCCACCTCCATCTCGGCGCATCCCTCACACGTTTCGTGGCCCCATAGGGTGCTCCACCCAAGGCCACAGTGGCAGGGTCCGCACGCAGTTCCACCTCCACTTCGGCGCACCCCTCACAGGTTTCGTGGCCCCATAGGGTGCTCCGCCGAAGGCCCCAGTGGCAGGGTCCGCATGCAGTTCCACCTCCACTTCGGCGCACCACTCACACGTTTCGTGGCCCCATAAGGTGCTCCGCCGAAGGCCCCAGTGGCAGGATCCGCATGCAATTCCACCCCCATGTCGGCGCACCCCTCATATGTACGCTTCGTGGCCCCATGAGGTGCTCCACCCAAGGCCCCAATGGCAGGGTCCGCGTGCAGTTCCACCCCCAGTTCGGCGCACCCCTCCCACGTTTCGTGGCCGCATAAGGTGCTCCGCCGAAGGCCCCAATGGCAGGGTCCGCATGCAGGTCCACCCCCATGTCGACGTACCCCGCGCACATTCCGCGGCCCCATAGGGTGCTCCACCCAAGGCCCCAATGGCAGGGTTCACATGCAATTCCACCGGGCCATGTCGACGCACCCCGCGCACGTTCTGCGGTCCCATAGGGTGCTCCGCCGAAGGCCCCAGTGGCAGGGTCCGCGTGCAGTTCCCATTTCGCGGCATCCCTCATACGCTTCGTGGCCCCATAAGGTGCCCCGCCGAGAGCCCCCGTGACAGGGTCCGCATGCAGTTCCACCTCCATTTCGGCGCACCACTCACACGTTTCGTGGCCCCATAGAGGCAGGTTCCGCATGCAGTTCCACCCTCCATTTCGGCGCACCCCTTCCACGTTTCGTGGCCCCCAAAGACCCCAATGGCAGCGCCCGCACGTGGTTCCATCCTGAATTTCGGCGCACCCCTCACACGCTTTGTGGCCTCACATGGAGCTGCACCGACGGGCCCGGTGGCAGCGTCCGCACGGCGTACCCGTGCCAACAAGTCTGGCACACCC